GTTCCTGCTATGAGAGAATGTTCTCTGTATTGATTGACATGCACAAGCCTGTGCAATGTGACTGGAATGTCACCTATTCAGAGGAGGAGGTGAATTCTCATTCCCTTGAATACGGCTCAAGACCTAAGTGGGCAGAATTGATGGGAAAGTCCTGGAGTGTGCACTTTCAGGCCTCACGACATCTGCTTTCTTTCTGAGCAGTAATGACGATGGTGGAACACACCTGGGAATGACAGGTCTGAGAGAAGAGGTCTGAGGCACTTTGGCCATCAGCAGCACTAGTGGCTTTCCACCCAGTCAACTCCAATTCTAGCAGCCACCTGAGTGAGCTCAGGTGACCCAGCTAGGGACCCTTCATTCAATCCACAGCACTTTGAGACACAGTGAATTGCTCTTGTAAGCCACTTGGTTTTGGGGTAGTCTTTTATGCCACAAACCATAACCAACATAGAAACAGAACCCTCCAGAAGAGAGGTGCTGCCCTAACAGATACCTCTGACATTGACTTGAGACTGACGGGGCAGAAATTGCAGGGCAGTGAAGAAACTGTAATGAAGCTGGGATAACAGGGGTGAATGGCTGTTGTAGTATGGAGAAAGGCAGGCCTCCTTATTCAGGGCAGGGTAACGGGGAACACGGTCCCTGCAACAGTGTAAGAGCTAGGAAAGTCACTACCAGAAAAACTCCATTGAACCTAGGACTCCATGATTTTACACAGAGATACCCCTGCAAGTGTATTCACAATTGCAGACTCCCAGATGGAAAGGAGGTATTCATCATGGACCACAGTGTTTGCACAAAGCAATTTAAGCCCTTAGAACTGCTCATCTAGAGAGTGGTGAAAGCCTTCCCAAATTTACAGGCTAGTGCTGATACAGTTTTTAGAAAACCAAATATCTTAGTATAAATTATTATGAAAAGTTCTCTGAGATCTCACTTAGGGTTTGGGAAATCCAGTCTGTCTCTCTGGACATCAATTTCCTTAGCTATAAAATGGAAGTTATGTGTAGGAAAAAAAAAAAACATTCTATAGGATTTATTCTAGGTCATGACCCGAAAATCTTTAGTAACTAGTATTAGTATCAATCCAACCTGCTAATCTAACCATCCGTAAACGCCTAAACATTTCTTGGATCCCATTCAGTGTCAGTGTAGCAGCACTGTAAACCTCAAGCACAGTATGGTATTTTATTCATCCGCCTATTCTTTCAGTTGGCACCGACTAGGGGCCCATGATGTGGCAGCCATGTTAAATTCTTCAGGTTCTTTCATAGGGCCTTGTCAGCTGACATTTTCTCTGTTTCTGTATAATAAAAAGTGCTTCTTCTCTGGTACAATCACATCACTTCTCTAAACAAGGCCACACTTTTGTTCTGTGCTCCTATCTCTCTCCTAGCCTCCCCTAGTCTAACGATCATCTTCACTGTTATTACTGGCATTCTTGCCTACTTTCCCTAGCAGCAGACTGTACCATCTGTAAATACAGGATCGCTGCTGCCTCCTTTCCATCTGGGAGTCTGCAATTGTGTATACACTTGCAGGGATATCTCTGTGTAAAATCATGGAGTCCTAGGTTCAATGGAGTTTTTCTGGATGACAAAACATTATGAAACTGGTCATTATAATTTACTGCTGAAGTAAGTAAGAGTGTGTGTGTGTGTGTGTGTGTGTGTGTGTGTGTGTGTGTGTGTGTGTGAAACTTCCCAGAAAAGAATTTTTGGAAGTGTGCATCTGGTTTCCTCTGGGCTTGTGCATGGAGAAATTTTCCCTTTGGTGATTTTACTGTGAGTATTGTAACAGTGTATCACAGCTCTGAGTACAACTACACTCCTGGATCTGTGTATTTCTCCCAGAAACTGACCACATCACAGAGTATTGGGTACTCTTGACACCAGATGAACTTCAAATAGGAGAAATCAGAAACCCACAGCAAGGCATCAAACTCTGGAAAACTAAAGATAACGAGAGCATCTTGAAAACAGAGGAATGGCCAGGAGTGTTCCTGAGGAAGACCAATGTGTATGGCAATGGCTTTCTCATCTCAAAACAAGCAACCCAGAAGGAAATGATGTGATATAATAAAAAGAAATGCCAAGCATGGAGTCTAGATCTGGCCCCCTGGGAATGTGTTAACAACAAACTCAGAACAAGGGAAAATGACAAAAGTTGCTGGTAGACCTTGAAGATTAGCAAGAGGAAGCTCTTTAACCACAATGAAAATGATAGGAATAGAAATCTTAGAGCAACAGGAAGAAGGGATAACAACAGAAGAACAGAAATGGCTGGGCAGTTGTGGTGCACGCCTTTAATCCCAGCACTTAGGAGGCAGAGGCCTGTGGGTCTCTGTGAAATAAAGGCCAGCCTGGTCTACAGAGAGAGAGTTCTGGGATAGTCAGGGTTACACAGATAAACCCTGTCTTGAAAAACCAAAAAAAAAAAAAAAAAAAAAAAAGACAGAAATATATGTATTTAAATCGGCCTCTCTTCATGAGTTTTATAAATTATAGTTGATGACTGAAATGAAAATGATAACAGCTGATTGGTGTCAGTGAGCGGGATGACCCCCATGCCCCAAGGTTTCCAGAGAAAGAGGAAAACCTGTTGCCACAGCCTGCCCTGTTGGGCTGCTGAGAGACATCAGAGCAGCTTCCATGTGCTCCCGCCATCCAGGCGCTTATGGAGTTTAGACTCGCCACTCCCAAGATGATAAAGACAGATCCAGAAGAAGAAAAACCTCTAAAGGTTTACACTGCGTTTAAAAATATATGTAGGCTTGTGAGAGAAGGAAGTAGAGGCAGATAGATTTCCACAGAGAAACCCTGTCTCGGGGAAAAAAGAAACAAAAGAAAATAAAAATAAAGTAATAAAAAAGCCACATAAAGATGAAAAATACACAGAGAATCTGGATACTATATGCCATATTGTTGTCTTTAAATTGTTTGATTGCGGAGGAAAGATTTACTGCTGCTAAAATACATTTGATTATAAGTGCTGCTAAATTAATCCAACTAATACATTTTAAAAATGTTTTGACTTCAAAATTTAAGTCTAAGGACAGGCTACTTAGAAATAGGTTTTGCTTATATTTCCACAGAAAATAAAAAACTATGGATTCCTTCCAGAGTAATATGGTTTGATCAAACAAGACCCCCTAAAGCTGAGATGATACAGCCTTACAGACTACAAAAACAAGGACTTGGTCAGGTTTCTATGTTTTATCATGATCCCAATGGTATGAACATCGCCCCAAATCAACAGGAAACAGTTTAGAAAGAACGACACCCATATTCCCAAATATTGTTTATAAATGTTTGTTTTCATTTAAATGGGGTTAGTTATAAATGATAATGAGCATAGTCAATCTCTTTTTAAAGAAAAAAAGGGGATAGGATATAGGAATGAATACTTTGCATTGGTATAGATTTTCATTTATTGATACAACTCTAAGGTCAATTTTGTGATATGTGTATGTCTTCTCTTGTTTAGGTATTGTGTTTATACAGATCTTTTACCTATAAAGTCAGAACTTATAATTAGATTAGTTAGGTTTTCTAGATATATAAAAATATATTTGAGATGGATAGATTTTCTTCAAACCTTTCAAAGACCTACAGAAATATGGCATTTAAATGGTTTAGGGTTTATCTTGGCAGTTGCAGACACAACTGCTCCTGGCACACCAATTATGTCAGAAAGGAGGATGGGCATCGAAGAAACTCGTTATGGAGTTTGCTTTCAACATGGCAAGATTAGCCATTTGAACAAGAAACTGCTCTTGCCTGGCCTGTTTGTTGCTGTATAAACTAGACAGGCAGGACCCACAAGAAAATTACTGATGAACTTACAAAACAAGACAGTACTAAAGGGTTACTGTTAAAATGGAAAAGTGTGCTAGACACACTGTGGCCTATAGGCTGAAGATGGATGCCCCAATGTTACAGAGGAAGTTTGGGTGACTGTCCAGGTAGCGAGATGTCTCTGTCAATTCTAGAGTTTATATATTATCCT